CCACTCTTGTTTAGCACTTCTGTGATCCCTAAGAGGAGAACTTACAGATAAGTCATACCATGGAGAGCAGCCTCATATTGTATTTCTCTTGGTGACCTCTGGACAATAATGGTCTGAAATGAACTGGAAGACATCATTATTTTATTTAACCATCTCCTCATAGGACATAAATGAGGTGTCGCCCCAGTTCAGAAAGTAATTGTTTTACTGTAAGAAAGGTCTTGGGATATTAAAACCAAAGGTAACCAAAACATGGTCAGAGACTGCTGGATCAATCAGGTCAACTGCAACATCTAATACATGATCAGGAGACAAAACTAGGTCTAGTGTGTGTCCAGAAAGATATATCGAAACACGACGACACACGCTGGACAAAATAGTTTAGATCGAGAATTCCCAAACACTCAAGAGGAAAAAGGTTTCAGAGATGAATTGTCAACCCAATAATTAAAGTCATCACAGATCAATCGTCGCCCGTTCTTCCCCGAGAGAGCCTCGATAAAGAAGCCAAATTGATACATGAACTCCCTACCTGTACTTGCACGACGAGGACGATACATAACAGCTGTTCTAATAAATTGGTGATGGAGATTTATTCATGCCTCCTAAACAGTCACTACTAATCAGTGTGGAGCAGGAACAATTCAGCCACTGTCCTCATGCAACCCTTAAATATACACAGGAGCGACAATAGTGTGTGTCAACAGATGGCAAGTGCATTTTATCCAAGAGTACACCAGTATGGAACTATGTGCTGCCTCAAGGTAGTTCCACACACCTTACTATACTCTCACACAGACAATCACCCTCTTCATGTGAATATTTATAGTTTTTTATCAATTTATGCTACACTTGAACCCATGTCTTCTATCTTGTTATGTGTGTATGTTATGTTTCTTATCATTGGGTTTTGTTTTGTTTGGGGTTATATTATATTAGATATTTTCACTGTTCCCTTCACTTACTAGAATATTCTTTTGTTCTCTTCCAGATGCCATACTGCCCTTGGTCAGTTATATGAACAATAAAGCCTAGAAAAAGGTCGACTCTTAGTCTTTTTTTACCACATTATCTATTCATATTTATGCATACTGTACAAAGTTTACGTGTCAACTTTCTGCATTTATAAGCAGTAATACGAGTACCTCTCACAACTATGTCATGGGTTTGAGTACTAGCCTGGACACACATGAGAAGGGTGTTATCCAGTGTGACTCTACCAAGTATAGCAGGTTTCCTCCTGTAGTAACAGTGGACAGACCAACCGCCCGGACAGCTGATAAAGTGGTGAAACAATGACATAAAAAAATAAATCAATGGCCCTTTCTAGGCTGCAGCCATCAATTTAAGCACTACTGCTGTAGACCAAGTTTGTACAGGATCAGGTCAGAGTAGGGACACCAATCTTTGTTACATACTACCTTGTACAGGTAGAGCACAGTACAGGTGGTTCTCGTTATCCAAGCTTAATGGGGACCAGAAAAAAGACTCGGATAGTGATAAAGGGGAATTAATTCCCATGAGAATTAATATTAATAGGGTCTCATTGAGACCATCACATTTTCAGTGACACTCAAAAGTTTAATTTGATATCTTTTAACATTTATACTATATACTGTATACCTTAGAAACATTGTTGTGTGTTGATGCAATGCAGACTGCCTAACCATGTGGTTGGACGACTGCGCACATGCTCACCCACACACTCATTTTAGTGGAAGTGAAAGTGTTTCACTGAGACACATTATTAAAATGTTTTAAAAATTATAATTTTAACATATCAATTATTTTTATTAGTTTACCTTCCAAAGTAGAGATGTTGGGCTTGATTGTATGGATGGAGGTGGATGTTGGGAGAGGAGCATTAGTCAGAGGATGAGAGAGAGGTCAGACTAGGTGGATTGACTATAGCAGAAGGACCTTGCTTCAGGTAGAAACTCATGGCTACAAAAAATTCCACCAGTGTCATCAAAGGCACAACAAAGTAACAAAAATCCTTGAAGCACTTTCAAAACAAGGTGTGGGGATGCAGGCCATTGGTTGTGCTAATTACATCCCTGGTGACACAACAGCTTAGTTTATATGTAGCTGAATTAAAATAAAGGCTTAAAAGACTATAACAAAATAATAAAAGGCAAAAAACATAAGTAAAAAATAACAGAAATTTCATAAAAAAACATTGAAACCTTAATACACAAAACTCAGAGCTTGTGAAGAAGTCAAGCTTCCTCCACAAAAGAGAGGACGTCCCCTCCCACACTACCCACCCCTCCCCCCAGCACCAGAGACAGATGGCACGACCTGTCTCCCCCCGGCACTGGGAGAGATGCTTACGACGAAGATCACTGAGACTGGGGCACTCCAGGCAACTCTTACTGTGCATGCGTGGCGCAGGCGAGAAAGATAAACTTTGAGAGAATGTGAGGTGGGAGGGTATTTTGACGCTTATGATCTAGACTCACAGAATTCATCCGTGAAATCCTCATAAGATTGGGAAATATTTACATATACTGTAGCTCGTAACTACTGATCCACGAACAATGAATACCCGGATAATGACCAGAGGTGAGTAGACCAGTCACCAAAGACAAGAATTAACAAACTTAAACTGATTCAGAGATACAGTGCCTGTTTTTGAGAGAGAGAGAGAGAGAGAGAGAGAGAGAGAGAGAGAGAGAGAGAGAGAGAGAGAGAGAGAGAGAGAGAGAGAGAGAGAGAGAGAGAGAGAGAGAGAGAGAGAGAGAGAGAGAGAGAGAGAGAGAGAGAGAGAGAGAGAGAGAGAGAGAGAGAGAGAGAGAGAGAGAGAGAGAGAGAGAGAGAGAGAGAGAGAGAGAGAGAGAGAGAGAGAGAGAGAGAGAGAGAGAGAGAGAGAGAGAGAGAGAGAGAGAGAGAGAGAGAGAGAGAGAGAGAGAGAGAGAGAGAGAGAGAGAGAGAGAGAGAGAGAGAGAGAGAGAGAGAGAGAGAGAGAGAGAGAGAGAGAGAGAGAGAGAGAGAGAGAGAGAGAGAGAGAGAGAGAGAGAGAGAGAGAGAGAGAGAGAGAGAGAGAGAGAGAGAGAGAGAGAGAGAGAGAGAGAGAGAGAGAGAGAGAGAGAGAGAGAGAGAGAGAGAGAGAGAGAGAGAGAGAGAGAGAGAGAGAGAGAGAGAGAGAGAGAGAGAGAGAGAGAGAGAGAGAGAGAGAGAGAGAGAGAGAGAGAGAGAGAGAGAGAGAGAGAGAGAGAGAGAGAGAGGGAGAGAGAGAGAGAGAGAGAGAGAGAGAGAGAGAGAGAGAGAGAGAGAGAGAGAGAGAGAGAGAGAGAGAGAGAGAGAGAGAGAGAGAGAGAGAGAGAGAGAGAGAGAGAGAGAGAGAGAGAGAGAGAGAGAGAGAGAGAGAGAGAGAGAGAGAGAGAGAGAGAGAGAGAGAGAGAGAGAGAGAGAGAGAGAGAGAGAGAGAGAGAGAGAGAGAGAGAGAGAGAGAGAGAGAGAGAGAGAGAGAGAGAGAGAGAGAGAGAGAGAGAGAGAGAGAGAGAGAGAGAGAGAGAGAGAGAGAGAGAGAGAGAGAGAGAGAGAGAGAGAGAGAGAGATATATATATATATATATATATTCCTGACCTTACAAGTACAGTTTTAACTAAACATCTCTCCCTGAAAGTCTTACCTATATGAATGAACTCTAAAAATTCACCCAACCAGATGGCCTCACTGTCCTTCAGTAATACATACCCCTTGATCAAAAAGACATCAATATGCATGACTTAGTGGAACAACCCCCCCCCCCCAAAATTATGTAATTAAGTGAAAACCACCAGACATCCCTTGTAATATGACACACACACACACACACACATGTTGCTGACACCTCAAAGTTAACCATTAGACAGTATAGTATAAATAAAGCCCCCTGTCCCCACCTGTCCCCACCTTCACTGGAGAAAACTTATCTTTTAAACCTTATATATAAATATTCTATACTGTACCGTCATCAAGGCCGGCTCCAGCCTCTGAATAGCCCTGTTCAAGATAATGGTTGGGGGCCCAGTTCAAGATAATGGTTGGGGGCCCTCTTCAAGATAATGGTTGGGGGCCCTCTTCAAGATAATGGTTGGGGGCCCTCTTCAAGATAATGGTTGGGGGCCCTCTTCAAGATAATGGTTGGGGGCCCTCTTCAAGATAATGGTTGGGGGCCCTCTTCAAGATAATGGTTGGGGGCCCTCTTCAAGATAATGGTTGGGGGCCCTCTTCAAGATAATGGTTGGGGCCCTGTTCAAGATAATGGTCGAGGTCCCATTCCTTAGACAACCATCCCTGGCTTCCCTCCCACCGTCCTCAGTCCTTCACCCACCATTAATAATGTCTAAGTAATTACTGTATATCTAGTTTGTTTATTGGTAAGTTAACCCCAATTTCATATCATATTTCATTTTCAAAAAGTATATTATTTTCTATGAAGAGCAACAGTCTTTATTTCATACCAGCTGAGTCTTCATGTAATCATATTGTACAGTAATCATTATTATCATTACTTTTCTGTGGAATCGATTACGATTTCTCAAAAAATATTGAAACGATTCTTATGATTACAATTACAACATATCACTTGATTAATTATGAAAGACAGTAGTTCAAAGTAGTACACAAAGGCAACAAAGCACTTACAGTTACCTTCTATACTCTTATTTTATTCTAATAATTAATTATAAAGAACACACCCATTTCATTGGTTATTGTTAACGCTCATAGGAGAGTTATTGGGGCCTGCAGGATAATGAGATCCTTGTCGTTGACGCAATGAGTATAATTCGGTCAAAACCTGATAAAGAACAATTCACATATAACAACTGCTGGTACATCAGGACACACAGTTTGTATAATATGATCAATATACAGTACATAACCTATTAACCTCTTAAATATAACTCACATGTTACAACTACTGATACATCAAGACACAGTTTGTATAATATGATCAATATACAGTAGTACATAAATTATTAAAGTTATTTAGAGTTCTTAGAGGATTTAATAGTTCACAATCACACTCACGTTTTGGGGTCTAGGGTTTGACCAACGAGAACAAATATAATATCCTCCTGGTAGCTGTTGTCTCTACAGTAGAAGGCGATAGACTGTCCGTCACAGCTGTTACCAGTGTGGCCGACGAGCCCATTTAAACACCTCGGCAAAATTCGTTGTCAACACTGTGTCTCTCCTCTCACCCTCTCTCTCTCTTCTAGTTTATCTTACTGTGGCGGTAACAGCTATAAATGAGCAACTTCTATTGTTACAACTGTGAACACATAACAGATACAAACATAAATACTAACAACACTCATGTCCTTCCTTTCCCCAGGAGGGTGTGAATCTGACACCATTGCCAGGATTTTATACTCTGTAGACAGAAACCGTCATAGACCAGACTTACCGGTGCCAGATGGCTGAAACGCACTCGCCTGCAGTTTTGGGATGCGCATACCACACGACACGCCAGATTTGAAATACAAATCCTACTAAAAGCAAATATATTGTATTCAGGAGAGGGCCCTGTGCAGCCACACACAGCTGGGGCCGGCATTGACTGTCACTACTTCTTGGCTCTGGAGTCATCTGGAAGGATTAACTGTTTTCAGACTGCAGTAATCCCTGGCAGCTATTTTTGTAGGTTAGTAAAGGTTGACTGACATAGGTCCCCAGTATGGTCATAAAGTTATAGTTGGTATAGAAACAATACAGTGGTTGTAAACTCTCCACTTGGATAAGTAATAAAAGAAAAGAAAATTCATCAATATTTCTCTTACATATAGATAAATTCTTCTTTATGGCAAAAATCATTTAAATTTAATGCCTTGCTACTGTACTGTACCTACATCCAAATTAATAAATATACTGTACTATAGTAACCGGGTGAATAACATTCCTGTATTAAAATCAATTTACTTTATTAACATTATCTGATAATTAGTGGTTACATTTCTGGACGAGACATGCGGAAAGAAATGTTAGAGCAGATAACTATAAGACCATGATGGTCAGAAGATGCTATGAGAAGTTATAGTTGGAGGTGACAAATTTGATCAACATTTTACATGTGACATCTTGACTTTAGTACAAGTAATGACATGATGAATGAACGTACTGTACTGTAGTTTTAATGAAGCAGCAGCGTATACGAATGATGGAGCAGCACGGTGTCGAGTGGCTCACAGTAAATAAAGACGGCGTGCGTTTGCTCTCGTCTCCAGCCACCTTGGACTCTGCCTGCATGACTGGATTTTGTTTCTTAATAATGAATGATTACATTTAACCTGTCATTCCATTTTCATTCTGTTCAATCTTAAGGAGTCCATCGGCATATTGAAACTCAGAGCTATTTTCATACTCTGACATATCCAGCGCTACTTCACAGCTCTCTCGTACTACACGGGCTTTGTCTCGTTGGTATTCTTTTAATACTGCCATGGCTGCTACAGTGGCTATTGAACCAAGAGCCTCGGCTGCCTCATGACGTACCATTTCGTTTTCATTTTCATCTTGCACGACAGCTGTTAATTCTTTGACTACAACATCATTAGACATTTGACCCAATACAAAACCAATTTCATGACGAAAGAGGGCACTGCTGCATTTAAATCCTGCAGCAAGAGCTTTGGCACTCTCTGGGGTGTTCAGGTTACGAAGAGAAAACATTGCACGATAACGGTCAAAAAGTGGAAGGGATTCTTCAAGTAACCTTTCTCTTAACTTTTCAACATCCGTATCGGTTGCTGGCGGAGTTGGATCAACAGAGAAGAATTTATCGGCTCCTTCAAATTTTTCGCCTTTATTAGACTCCTTCTGAAACCATTCTATTCTCCCTACAGCCAACTGACAAGTCTCTGCTACCTCAGTAACAGGGTCCTTACTATAAGACCTTAAGAGATCCAAGACTGAGGGGTCCCCTATGGCCCCCAGAGCCTCTCCAGCCTCATGACGTACAATGGGTTCCTGTTCAACGTCTTTTAATATTTTTGTAAGTGTAGGGATAGCGCGTGTATCCCCCATTTGTCCGAGGCAGTATGCCGACTCGTGTTTCAGGAGTGCTGAAGGATCGCTAAAACACTGTGATATAGCAACTATGGCAGCTTCTCCACCAAGATTCTTCAGTGTAAAGAGAGCACGAAAACGTTCCTTTAGAGGGCGATTCTGGTCTTCTAACACTTGCCCAATGGCTTCTATTATGCTGTCTGGAACCATTTTTGTTTCTGTGAAAACAAAGGTAAGCATAAATTATTCTTCACACATCAACTCCAAACTACTTAGCTTATGCAAAAAGACAATCTAAATTTGTCAATAAATAAAAGAACAAAAAATTGAGGAATACAGCGAGGAAGTTACACACAATACTACAACAGAGAGCAAGAATATGTAGGTACTGTAATGTAATGATAAGAAGAAGGTAAGTGATCAAGGTACAACGTTGCCTTCATGAGTTAGTGCACACAGCAAGCTACACTACACTATACAACTGGTAAATAATGTGCATGGTCTAATTTTAAGTAATATTAATAACCCATATGTTTTAATTGGGAATAACACAATGTAAAACTGGCCTATATGATAAGAGATTACACCTGAGGAGAGAGCAAATACTGTACCTAGGAAGAGCGAGACTGGGGAACTAATTAAGAAAATGGAACGTATACTTAGTGGTAGAGTAACAACACAACTGTGAAAGAGTATAATACTTCCTATCTTGGAATGAAATAAAATGCTCTACAATTCAGGTACCCAATAGAAATGAATTACCCGAAGGCTACGTCTGAGGTTAAGAGAACAGGAGGTAAGAAACACTGGAGTGACTGTAGGTGTGGCACAGACAGAATAAGTGTAAACTGTGGAGTGGTGGACCGGAAAGAGAGGTTCACCAAGATGGTCCACAAACAAGGAGGGAGGCACAGCAGGAACACTGATGGTGGGCCGTTGCCTACGTTATGGAGAAGGTAGAGGAGATATTCAGTGAGAACATGGCCAGGAGACTCTTCTATCATGACTATTGTCTCCAAGGGGAGTCATGTGTTGCAAATAAGTTTTTTTTTTTGCAATCCAATAACAAGTTACAATACTAAAATTTATGAACAGTAATCAATGTATATACTGTACTATAATTGTTCTAAATTTAGAGAATACTATTTCAATTATTGTACACTGGAAACTGTACAGTAATACTAAATACAGTGATCCCTTGGTTAACGAACGCCTCGGTTAACGAATTGCCTTCCATAAGATTCTTCACTTCGGTTAACGAAAAAATTTCGGTGAACGAACTCCTTACGAATTTTTCCCAACATGTTTTCGCCTGCTTTTGCTTGCTCACCGGCTGTAGTATCAGTCCGCCAATACAGTAATCGGTTTTAGGGCTTAAATTCGTTTCCATTTAAGTAAATATCAAGAAGGTTGTACTATTCAATAATTTTCCAAGTCTTATACAGTATTAAAGTTTTTAGTCATTTTAACAATTATTTAACATAATTGAAGTACAGGGAACTAGTTTTTAGCGCGCCAAACAGCCACTCAACACACCCAAAATGGCGTCAGTGTGTGTCCCTGCTCAGTGGAGGAAGCTTCTTGCTTGAGACTCTCTTGAACATAAACTATTTTTATGTTTTTACAGTACAATTATTGGTCATTCTGAAGTTTATTTTACATATTGACAATATATAATGCAGTGCAGTGTTGATTTAAAGAAAACGATCTTGAATTACACCAAGTGAACTAAAATTATACGGGTGAAATGGCAGCATGGGGTGACTTCTCTTCCACCCCAATCCCTTCTCTTCCATCCCCATTCTAATTCCCATCATCATCATCATCAACCAGGAGCTTTCTACATGCACACCTCAAAGTAAGTGTACTTTACCGCATTAATTTTTAGTTTGTATGAAATTTTCGGTGAGCTGGAACCAATTACCCAAAATCCCATTGAAACAATGGTTTCGGTTAACGAACGACCTTCTGGAATAAATTGTGTTTGTTAACCGAGGGACCACTGTACAGGATTAATCCCATTTATGACTGAGTCCAAAGATCAGTGACTAAAGTAATGTGCCAATCACAGCCATCAGTGTTAAGACCCCAACACCTATATACTGGAACTAATACAGCAATCTGTCCATTAGCAGCATTCTCTGGTCACAAAAATTCTCCAACAGCCAGAATGAATTTTAAGCCTTCTGGAAAAACTCTCTCCATTCCAGGCATGGAGACAAATTTTTGAGGATGAAACCATGCACATTTTCCAGCAAACCACCAAGAAATTTCTCCATTTTGGGCATCGGAAAAATTTTTCCAGGAGCTCCAAGTGATTGCATCATGCTCCGACACATCATGCTCCCGCTGTGCAGCTGCCCCCCTTGGCCAATGTTCGGCCCATTCCCCAAGTCCTTCTCCTCGACCCATCCTCACCACCGGGATATCTACATAATCAAAAGTGACAATTTCGTTTCGGAAAGATGTGAGATCAGTGTTGAACAGTGATGAACAGTGTTTAAGCCAGTGAATTCAGCACTTGACAGTACCAGTAAGAGCCGTGACCCACCAGTGAGATAAGCACCCCTGGGAACTGACCACCATCTTCTGACCAGGAGGTGCTAATCCGTCCACCCTGGGAACAACAGTGGGTCGGCTTTACACCTGACTACAAGATAACACAACACCACCCAGCAGAGAGTGAGGTACTGTGACACGACACCACACCATCCGGTGTCTCCATGACCACATGAGGTCCTTCAGATCAACACCCGAGGACGAGTTACTACACCACACCACCCGGTGTCTCCATGACCATGTGAGGTCCTATATATCAACACCTCCGGTCAAGTCACTACACCACGTGGCCTACGTGACCTCACACAGTATGGCAAGAGACCTGCCCAGGCCATCAACTGTAAGCTATAATAATTTGTATGTTCAATTCATGTTCCTTCTTCTCTCAGTAATGAAAGCTTTTGTTAAACGACCCACCCACCCCATGTCTTTGTATGTAATAAGTCATTTTTGTCTAATGTATATTTACAGCCTTCGGGCTGCAGAACTTTTTCAATAAACCGTTAATTATTATTATTATTAGGGTGGGCGGTATCTTAGGCCGTAAGCTCGAGCACTTAGTTCATACTCTGCTGCTATTGAATAAGGTTGTTCCCTCACTCACTGATATTTTTGCATATAATTTGTGTTGTGCAGTACTGTACAGTAAAGCCTCCGATAACAACGGTTCGACCAACTTTTCATATTTAAGACCCTAGTTAATTTTGGACCCAATTTAATTTACGTCCTTATTTCATTCGTATTTACGACCAAAATATAATAAAATAAAATAAAATTACACTTTCTTATACAGTGGTCCCTCGGTTAACGAGATTTCGATTAACGAGTTACCTTCCATAAGATTCTTAACTTCGGTTAACGGGCAATCCCTCGATTAATGAGTTTCTTACGAGCCAATCTGAACATGATTTCGCTTGCATTTGGCGGTCCACCAGCTGTAGTATTAGTCCGTCAATACAATAATCAGTTCTAGGGCTTAAATTCCTTACCATTTTAGCAAATATCATGAAGTTTATACTATTCAATAATTTTAAAAGTATAATATTAAATTTTTTACTCATTTTAACAATTATTGAACATAATTGAAGGTAATGAAACTAGTTTTATGCGCGCCATCCAGCCTCTCAACACACCATACAGGCGTCAGTCTTTGTGTCTTTTCAGTGGAGGTAACATCTTGCTTGAGACTCTCTTCAACTAAACGCTTTTTTTCTGTGTTTCCAAGCAAATTATTGGTCATTTTGAAATTTATTTTACATATTGACAATATATAATGCAGTGCAGTGTTGATTTAAAGAAAATAATCTTGAATTGCACCAAGAGAACTAAAATTTTATGGGTGAAATGGCACCAAGGGGTGACTTCTCTTCCACCCCAATGCCTTCTCTTCTCCCTTCTCCACCCCCATTCTAATTCCCATTATCATCATCATCATCCAGGAGCCTTCTACATACACACCGCAAAGTAAGTGTACTTTTCTACCTTTTTTGTTGAATTTAGGCAATTTTCGGTGAGCTGGAACCAATTACCCAAAAACCCATTGAAACAATGGTTTCGGTTAACGAGCAACCTTCTAGAACGGATTGTGCTCGTTAACCGAGGGACAACTGTAAATAATAACGAAATCCCGATATGTATTATAACAAAAAAGAAATATTACTGTAAAAAAAATGAAGAGCGCCTTGTGCAAAGAAGCTGACTGGCTAATGAATGGTAAACAACAGTCGGAGCTTGGCCGGCCTTTTGTTTTCACACATCTGGAACAGGAGAAAAACTTTCTCAATTTTCTTACAGCATTTTTGCATCCCTATTCAACAAGAGCAAGAGAGCAAGTGATGGTAGTGTTGGTTCAAACACTAACAGAAAGTGTTTAAGCTTAGCCGAGAAACTAGATGTGTTAAAACGATATGAAAAAGGTGAGAGGTCTGTGGATATTATATGGAGCAAGCAATGAACATATTTTCTGAAGTGGATCCATTAACAGAACAAAGCATTAAAATTTAAATAAACACAAATGACCTCTACATAAGGATGCATAATGAGAAAAGAAAGCAGCTGTGCAAGGTTCTTTAGACAGCTTTATTATTCGAAGGCCTAAACCATCAACTTCAGCTACACCATCAAATTCAGCATCATAAGCAGCTTCAACATCAACTTCAGGTTCAGTAACAGTTTCAGCAACAGCTTTATGGAAAGCTACAGCTTCAGCCAGAGTTGAACCTGATGACTTCGTCATCTGAGTTAAAACTTACACAATATTCATTGGTGTCCTTATGTTTTAGACTTTACCACCATTGGTGAGTAGATATTTTGTTTTACATTCGTAAATATTATTTAAAACATATATGAACAGTAATAAGTGTTGCTTTCATATTCACATGTAGAGAAATGACGACATGTTTTAACATGTACGCACTTACTGTTCACACGTTGGCGTTCCCAATCGTCTCGCCTTATTTCTTTACCATTAGTGGTTAGCTACTTCTAGTGTTCCATTTATTAACATTAAATAACAATACTTAAAACATCTATACAGGCAGCGTTATTATGACTGAAATCAAATGATTTAAATCGATTTAAATCAGAGTAAAAAAATTATGATTTAAATCAAAATGATTTTTTTACTAATAACTGTTTTCTCTTTTTATTCTACTGTACA